CCTAGAGTAGTCATATAGACCAGATGGGTGGGATACAAATCGAATAAATAAATAAAATAAAATAAGAATAAGGGTTGGGGGGCAATGCTATGGAGAAAGTAGCATAATTTCTCTGAAAAATCAAAATGCTGGATTTGTACAGAAGCTAAGTAAGATGCCATGTAATGTCTCTACTAAATTTCTCTGAACTCTAAATTGCACATTTTATATAGTTATTAGTATAATGTGCTCTTTTTGAGTACAGTGGTGCCTCGCATAGCGACGTTAATCTGTGCAGCAAAAACCGCTGCTAAGCGATTTTGTCACTATGCGATTTTAAAAAGCCCATAGAAACGCATTAAAACCTGTTTAATGCGTTCTTATGGGCTTAAAACTCACCTTAAAGCGAAGATCCTCCATACAGCAGCCATTTTTGCTGCCTCTTAAGCAAGGAATCCGTCCCTACACACAGCGGGTGGCCATTTTTTTTTAACCCGGCGGCCATTTTGGAACTGCCGATCAGCTGTTAAAAAATCATCGCTTTGCGATGATCGGTAAGCGAAACAGGGAACCGATAATCGCAAAGCGGAAAAAAACATTTAAAACATCGCAATGCAATTGCTTTTGTGATCACAAAATCTTAATCGCTAAGCGGTTTCGTCGCTAAACGGAGTGCCCATTAAGCGAGGCACCACTGTACTCTTTTTAGAACACCTTAAACTTGATTGGCTGGATAACTTAGTAAGTTAGGTATCTGACTGCTAAGCCAGAGACTGGGAGTTCAGTTTCAGTAATCCTCCTGTGTAGTCTTAGGCAAACTGCACAATCCCAGAAGTGCACCTCAAAAGAAGGGAATGGTAAACCTTTTATCAGGACTTTGTACTTTTAAAAAATCCTGGAAAAAAATCAGAACTGATTTGACGACAATTAATTTAAATGTGACACATAGGTTTGGCTCTCAGCATAACTTAATACAGCTCTGGATTGTCACGATGTACGTATGGCACAGGGAGAAACAGCAAGATGCAGGAAAACATATTTAGCAAGGTCTTATTGGGATCAAACTGTCCCAAGATTAAATAACAAGTGAACCTACAGCTGCTGCTGCTTGCCCTCCTTCCTGTGATTCAGACAGCAAGATGAAGAGTGAACATGTGCTCAGTATGTCTTGGAGGAGGATAACAAGCTGTGACTGTGATGGAACCACTCATGTGGTATCTCCTCATGCAAAAGGAAGGGAGTAGTTGGAACAAAGACAAGTCAGCAATATCGCTGTTACAAGACCTCTGATATGGTTATTCAGAAAGGAACAGAGGTGCGTGATAATTCTATCCACGTATTAATATTTAGACCAGCAGGAAATTGTTGAGCAGTTCTCATTCTGTACTTTAGAGGAATCCTAGAGATTCTTGAGAAAATCAGCAGAGAAATGTTCAAGGAGTCAAACTGCAAGTGACAGTCCATGTACAATTAAGAAGCATAACAGTCTTCTTTTTCTGTAACAACAGTACAACTGGAATTTTAATAATGGAGTCCACCACCACCCTCACCGGAGCTAATAAGAGATGTGAGGGAGGGTTGCAGCAGGGGAGGAATTCCCCTCTGCACTCTCAATCAAATTTAGACCTCTTTAGGCTATCTATTCATTTTGTTTCGAATTCAGTGTGTTCTTATAAGCACCTTTAGTGTCATCTGTAGTTTGATCCTAACTGGACACCTTGCATAGTATCGGTAGGCTAAATCTAACCTTATTTCCAAATGGAGTAAAGCCGTTAGCTTGAATCCAACTCAAATGGAACCACTGAATCATTTGGATTTACAAGGGATCTATTCTGATTAGATTTAGCCCACTGAAATCAATAGGTAGAATATATGCTGCTTTTCAGTAGCCTATCTCATTCATTTCAGTTAGTCTGTTATCAATGGGGCTAACACAGGATTTCGTCCAACATTTTCCTGCAGTTTGTAAAGATTCTCAGTTATTCATGTGAGGTTATCTGGAAGTTGAGTCATGGCAACTGGACTTCTCTTATTAGGTTGAAATTGCTACTCTCATCCCTCTCCAGAAAGATCAGGATCACACACCAGAAACACCACGGTTAATGACTGTTAACAACTCATGACAATGGGTGGAGAAGGACTGCAGAGGTGGGATGTTCACTCACCCCTGTCCTTTGTCCATCTAACAAGCCTATTCAGACCAGGGGGAAGTGAAACCAATATGGAAGATATATCAGGGGTCTCCTAACAGCTCTCCCCAGACTGAAGAAGCTACTTGGATGAGTAGCGAAACATTTCAATCTAATAAGAAAGAAGTCCAGTTGCCATGACTCAACTTCCAGATTTTCCTGCAGTGTGTAGTCACAGTGGGTGAATGTTAGGGAGTTTGTGCTCAGTTCATGTGAGGTGATACAGTATCTTGGCTGAACAAGCCTTTTTGCTGCTTCTAACAGCAAAGAAGATGTATACCCCAGAATATTCAGCCATTTGCTGGTATTCTGTGATAGGTTTCTTGGGATTCTTTTTCTGACAGATCAGTGAACAATGAATGGAAAACAAGGACATTTGAAAACTATACTGGTAGTGGGCTATGAATTTAAATTTGGTTTAGAGGATTTTTTTCATATCAACATCTTACCTTTTTTCTTTAAAAGCATTTGGTTTTTGTTGTGATAAACAATGTTTACTCTTTTCTTCCAAGCTGATAAAATGTAATAATTGCAATGTACACTGTAAGAGGATACTGTATGGGAGGCCTATAGGTGCCCCAAACAATGGATAGAGAGAATGTGTAGCATCTTTATTCACAATATAATCTTTAGCACTTCTATATGACCGCATCAGTAGAAATGTTGACATGCTAGCATTACTCTTTATGCCAGATGAAAAGTACCAGGTTGGGTTCAATATTCCAAGTGATACCAGTTTCTCCTTTTAGTTAACTAAAGGAAAGAGAACTTTAATATAAGGAAAGGGTGGGGAGTGTGGGACCTTCCAGGTGCCATTGAACTGCAGCTTCTATCAGCATTTCCCGTTGTAGCCAGTGATGAAGATTGATGGGAGCTGAGGTCCAACGGCATCTGAAAGGGAGTGGGTCTCTATATTCTCTGGCAAGCCTCCACTTGGAAGGGTGGTAGAGAGACCATTTCCTTGTGAAAAGGTAAATGATTATGAGACCTGTCATACTCGCATCTCCTTTAAAGATAAAGAAGCATGAGGGTGAAAATCAGGAATTTCCCCTTTCACAAGGACCACCTGAGCAGCAGACTCAGTGGGTACAGAGGTCACAAATTAGTGAGTTGTGTTATAATTCTGTTCAGATTACAAAAATCAATTCTGATTTTGATCAGTATCCTTCTTTGTCCTCTTCTTTGGTGGTTCATGGCCTCTGTTTTGGTCAGGTTTGGTGACCCAGTTGCAGAGCCACAAAGGAAGATCCAGGCTGGGGCAGGCAGATGTTCACCAAGGCAGATGTTCACAAATGAGTATGCCAAAAGCTGTTGGCATACTCATTCTCAATTTGACTGCTAAGGATGAATTTTATTTAAATAAATAATGAAAAATTTGATTGATAAATGTGTATTGACCATTTATGGAACAGTCCTTCTAGCAAAGCTCTGAAGATCATTGTTTGATTATTGTACTCATGCTGGAATTTTGTGTTCAGAAACTTGAGTCTTGGGTATCCTATCCCAGGAAAGGCACTGAGCGTATTAAGCTCAGCAGAATAAACCTTGTAAAATCACTGTGAGGATGATGCAAACCTGAAGAAGCAGGTTTACAGTTCTAGGGAATCTGGAGCATTATCAGATGCCATAAATTATAATGGTATATGGCAGGGTTGGTAAATCTATCTTCACAGAGTCAGCTTTGTGTTTTTCTAGACCGAGGGCAGGCACAAGATCCATCAGTATCTACAGTATTAGTAAATACCTGCCCTATTTGCATAGATCTGCAAGACTTCCCACCTCCCAGTGACTTGAAGATAGCAACAATGAAAAGCTTTGTTTTTCCTAAATCAGGCAGCTGAAACCAAGTGCAATACATTGGTTTAAGAAGGTAGATACAGTATTGCAAAACACAGACATTCTAGATACATCTAACAGCATTAGATCTAGAGCCTTTAAACATTCACACAAATTGACTCCTAATTTCCCTATATTTTCTTGCTTTTAGCTGCCTGATTTAGGAAGAAATAAAGCTTCTCATTGTTGCTACTGTTAAGTCATTGGAAACTGGAAATTCTTGCTATCTGTGCAAATGAGGCAGATATTTACCAGTCAATATTGATAAATCTTCCAGCGTGCCGCTGGTCTACTGCTACAGAAGGAAGGAAGAGGAAACACTCAGTGTATCTGATACAGTTCAGGGAAAGTCCATCTGAGGAATGAGTTTGAAAGCAGGAGAGATGGGGAAATGTAAGGTCTCATTCTCACTGAAGTGTTTGCCTGTGCCTGAGAAGTATCATATCATTTTGGATATTGGGGCTCAGGTCACTGAATGTTTTTTTCATTTTAAAAAGAGAGAAGTAAACCTGCACATAGCAAATTAGATATTAGAGGAGAAGATTGTAGCTTTGTCTTGTCCCTATCATGGGCATTTTACAGTATTTCTTCAGCTTAGTGAGAACTATTTAAAGACGAATTGGTATTTCTCAAATATTTAACTGTTCTGCCACTGAGAAATGTAGTCAAATTCCAGCATAATTCGGATTTTTTCATTACTTTTAAGAGGCCATTATCAAAAAGGAAATGTTTCCAATCTTGGATTCTATATGAGGTTACAATGGCCTTATGAAATTTCATACATTTTGTCAGGAACTCATACAACTATTGGGAGTAATTTGGAGTGTACATTATTCATGTTGCGTGGCCTTTGGAATCCCATCCAAATCTTAAGGCTTCAGCTTTTGTTGGCATTAAGTTGCTTCCAAATGCAACCTTACAAATTATTAGATTGGAAGCTGTTACTACACACGTGGTATGTACATTAATTTGTGTGTTTGTTTGTTTTCTCTCCAGCACATTCTATCTGTAATCATTGGCATCAGGACAGATTGAAATAAAAACCTGACAGATGCCTGTGCCACCGCCGCCACCACCACCTCTTCCACCATCTTTTTCCACTGGTCCCCCACCTCCTCCCCCTCCGCCGCTTCCATCACCTTCTTCTGCAGGATCACCACCACCACCACCACCTCCTCCACCACCTCTTCCTCCTCCATCACCTTCTTCTGGAGGTGCGCCACCATCCCCTATTTCTATTCCATCATCTTCTGGAGAGCCGCCACCACCACCACCACCACAGCTACCATCTCCAACTCCTCTGGTAAGTTTTGTCTTTCAGTATCAATGAAGACAAATATTCCCATTTATAGCCACTGTTCCATCAGTAATCTGGTACTCATTGTTTGAGATTCCTAGTCCCATTCAGGACACACATGTGTGGAATCTAGTTGAGGGTGCAGAAAAAAGTGAATGGTGTGTGAGATTTGGAGTAGAAACCAGAGAGCTGGAAAAGTATACCCTGCAATGAATGAATGAATACTCAAAATCAAAATGGTGCATACTGGGAAAAGATGTGCCAGGACCCCAGGCATATTGCTGTTGATCAGCTTTCCCCAATGTGGTGCCTTCCTGATTTTGGGGGCTACAATTCCCATCAGCTTCAGCTAGCACAGCCAAAGATAAGGGTTTATGGATATGATCATATAAAACATCTGGAATGGTAGTTTGGGGAAAGCTGCACTAGATATACAGGTTTCTACAGTACTGTCTTCAGATTGTAAAGGGTGTAGTTCCATCAGATGCAGTGCAGACTTTGTAACTTGGATCTGTGAAACACCAGGACATTTGAAATTAACCCTAGTATAAGAAACATCTGGTTCCTCAGAAGTTGTTGTGTCCTTACCTCATACATTGTTTTGCACAGTGTCCACTGGTGCAATGCAATAGTAGTAATTGACCAAATAATTGTTGTAATGCAAGCTTAACCATGCTGGTTCCAAAAAAGTGGTGATATTGGCACAACACATCTGCCATCGTAAGTCTTTGTTAAAGCACGGTGGTAAAGGGAAGCAAAGATAGGAAACTGTTTTACAATGGTCCTTGTAGTCCATTATTGCCTGTGCTGACTTGGGGTGGTCCTTTAGGTTTCTAAGCAGAAATGTTTCCCAACTACCTGGTGCTTTTTGAATGGAGTGTGTATATTCTACCACTGGGATTCCTCATAAAATAACTGTGTGATAGATGTGTTGTAGTGTATGTTGAGGGCTGGATGACTGTAACTTGCACCTGCTATAAAGTGACCCAGCTGTTGCTGCAGCAGCTGCTATCTATTCCCTAACAATAGAACTGAAGTTCAAAACTGTACATGTAGTTGTTTTTCAAATAGCTCACATTTTCTATCATACAGGAATAGTAGCACTCAGAATCCAAGATGTCCATACATTTCCCCCCTTTATTTCCTTGAACAAAAGGCGCTCATTACCTTCCCTTTCTAAAGGAAGTTATGAGGCTTCCCCCTCATTCCCATCATTGTTCCCTAAAAATGTTCGTTGAGCTTCCTAAAAATGCAAGACAGGGATTGGAGAACCTTGTTGAATGCAGTGAACTTTGCTGTGGTAGGAGTGAAATATCCCCATATAAAGCAGACACAATTTCATTGGGTGGGTTCTTTCTGTCCATGAATGGGAGATCTAAGGAGGACCATAGGATCCTCCCTTGCTTCCCTCATGGGGAATAATGGTTTTTAAAATTTAAATTATATTCTGCCCTTCTGCCCAAATGTGAGGTACTCATACCTGTCTTACAGCATATGAATTGTTAAAACAATAGCAAAGTTAAAATGGGGAAAAAAGAGAAGTTGAAAAAGAGGAAAACATAGATGATAAAGCCAGAAATCAGCAAGGATCAGACAAGTGACAAGCAGATAGAGGAATCATGTTTAGCAGGTGAAAAGTCTGCTGGAATGGGAAGGACTTCAGTTTTGAACTGATTGTTGGGGAAGAAGCCAGAGGATCTTTCAAGGTAGAGCATTCTGTGGTATATAGGTGCAGAAACAAAGAAAGCCCTGCCATTATGAATAGAAGTTGGTGGAATATTCCTCTTCTAATGTCTTCACAGTGTCCACACTTACCTGGCAGCAGGAAACAATCTTTTGGGTATTTTAGTGTGACACCATATTAGGATTACCAGTACAGTGGGGTCTTGACTTGAGAACTTAATCTGTATTGGAAGGCGGTTCTCAAGTCAAAAAGTCTGTAAGTCAAGCTGTCTGTAAGTCAAGGGTCCACTGTAGTACTTTGACTTGAAGCTAGAAATGAAGCTTGTAGTGAAGATAGAACAGCATCAAGTGCTGCTTGCTTCAGATAACTTGAACTTTGATGGCAGATCAAGCGCCAAATCTGTTCATGCATGCTTATCTCAGAGTACATGAAATTCTGAATGAATAGTGCAAAATAAGCAAAATAAAATGCTTAACTTGCACAAATGATTTGATTTGTAGAGTTTAGCTTTCCTTGGCAGAACATCCTCAATGTTTTATTAGACAGAATTTACATTAAGCAAATAGTGATTCCATTCATATACATTCAAGATATTATTTTAGAACTGCTGTGTAGTGATTTTCTGTAGTGAATTTTGTAGGAATAGTCTAAAGTAACTTTATTCATTTTCTTGTAGAAGTATCACTCTGCATTTAATATGAAGTCTGTTATCTCTAATATATATGTAGGATGGGGAAGGAAAGCATTATCAGCATTTTTTAACTTTGGAGAAGAATAGTATGTAAAATGCATTGTGTGGGCTGTGCAGTTTTTTAAAAAACCTTTTAACTTATGTTTTTCATTTAGGACTAAAATTGCATATTCTTTCTAATTCCAATGTCAATTGTCTGAAAGATTATTGTGAGTTCTTGTGTGTTAGGGTAGGTGTTCTATTATTCTGTCTGATAACTATTTTAAAGAGAAATGATTTTCCTGAATACATTCTGTAGGCAGATGGTGTACCACCTCTAATCTGTAGAATATTTATGAACAACCTACAACTGCACTTTCAAATGCTGGAAGATGCTGCTGTGCTTTGACAAGATAAAAATAATTAGTGCTTTTGTAGAACATTGCCAGCTCACATTTCGGTAGCGTGGAACAGCATCCTCTCTTCGAAAGCAAAATATAAATAGGGATAGCATGCTAAGAAGAAAAAGCCAAAGGGGAACTTGATTTATTTGGTACATGAACTAATGCAGGTTCAAGAAATGTGCAAATGGCAGACACTGACAAAAGTCAGGATCCAGGGAATTGGGTCTGGGAACCTGGAGAACAAAGGGAAGCTTAGTTGGATGGTGGTGGTGTCGTGATGGAGTCAGACCTTAGAAAAGTTCAATGTATTCATGAAGGCTTTCACAGCCGGGGTCTAATGGTTGTGGGTTTTTCGGGCTCTTTGGCTGTGTTCTGAAGGTTGTTCTTTCGCCAGTCTCTGTTGCCGGTATCTTCAAAGGACAGCACTCAGAGTGCTGTGAAAGCCTTCATGAATACATTGTTTAATTTTGTTTAAACCTCTCAGTATCCACCAAACTAAAATCAGTTGGCCACTAGAGGACCCCAGGGTACATTTTCAGTAAGCTCCCCATTTGTGTAAGAAAAAAATTGCTTTCAGGGGAGGGTACATGTACAAGCTTCAGAGTTCAAGAATGGGCACATGTGTGGCAGGCAGAATTCTGGAAATTGCCAGCCCTCTCATTTTGACACTGGAAGATGTTCTGGTGCTTTGTAATATTTCCAATGCAATTTCCCAAGATATAGCAAAAACACCGAAGAATCTTATGGCAACATAAAGACTAACAAACTTCAACTTTGAGCATGAGCTTCAAAGCAACTGTTCTACCTAATTCAGAAATGAACAGGGGTGAAACAGTTGATTCAGTTGCTAACATTTTAACATTAATAGTGGGACTCAGTGCTGCTTCTATCAGAATGAAGGATGTACCACAGGGTGTTATTGAGCAATTTGGTGGAATCTCAATCCAGTTCCCAAATGGGAAGGTTAAAGATGGCTTTCCCTCTTCTATTCACTGCTGAGCAATCTGGCACCTTTCTTTTAAAAGGAAAAAAGAGAATCCAAATCATGATTTTAAGGAGAACATTAAGGGAAAAACTCTGTAAGCTAGAAGCACAGCTGGCCAGGGTTGTGAGGGTCCTAGAGCAGACTACAAAGGAAAAGCTGCCTGCTTCAGCTGCCTTGACCTGCCATATTGCTTGTTAGTCTAGCTTTTTTTTCCTATAAGGAGTAGCACCTAGGTCACCAGCCTCACAGATGTTCCAGGCATGGAAATAATATGAAATTTGGAGCTTGTAAAGAAAGTTTAAACCTATGACGTATCTCCCTGGCTTCAGAACTAGATTGCTTGTGCGTGTGTGTGTGTAAAATTGGTGTGTTGGTTTTACTCAGTCTGCTATTATATATAACTCTGTGGTTTGCAATATCATTCTAAGATATCTAAGATTAGCCCTAGCAATTATTTTTTGCCATGCCAGCTCAGCCAGGGACAAAAACATACTGGACGTGGGAAGTGGCATGGGCGGAGATGGAGAACAGAAGAAAATTCAACAGTTGATCTAGCTAGTTTGCTTACGTCATACAGTGCATGACCTTTAAAAATCTATGTAAAATTTGATTGTGTGGCTACATTTACGCAGGCTGCATTTCTATGGTAAAAACGGATGAACTATGAAACTACTGCCTTACGATTCACAAAGATTAATTCTAAGACATATATTGTTCTGGTATATATTTGTGCATGCTTGCCAAATGATCCATAGGGTTTCTTCCAGCTCAGCAGTTCTAAAATGATGATGATGATGAATCTACAGACTATTCCATGTTAGGGTTTTTAAGTACAGTATGTTCCCAGCTTTCTGTACAGAACCAGTGGTAAGGAGCTTTCCTGGTTAATACATCCCATGCATTTGCCATTTAAAATTTCCTGAAGGACTCCTGAACGTTGTGAGGAGCAGGGCCAAGCAAAGATATTTTGCAATCTGAGGCAGAACACCAAATAGCAACCTCCCCTGTCCCCCAGTCAAGATGCATATTGCGCTAGGTCAGTCCAGTTATTTTAACATCTGAAACAGAAAACCTCACCAGGGTTTTGGGTTTTTTTGTTTGTTTGTTTGTTTTTTGTTTGTTTGTCTGTCTTCTTGGAAGTAAAAATGCAATTACTATATTAAACAATCAATAATGTACTTCCCTACAACCTGCAAACTGAGACTTTCTCTTACTTTCTCTGAAAGGGTATTCAAAGCAATGCAATGGAGCTTTACCTTCCCT